CTGGTCTTTTATCTCCGAGTATAATTTATTATATTCAATCAACCCTTGATGGAATACAGATTTGTAGCATATGTTATACTTTTTGGTCATTAAATGGAAGTCATCTTTATTTCTGGTATTATGTAAATGATGGTCGACATTTGATGATGTTAAATTAGTTAGACTTGATGGAAATATATTATTTTTTACTTTATAAATGAATATCATTACAAGATATTTGATAAAAATTTTTACATTGAGCCATTTTAATTTGCTAAGCATTTGCTTAATTGGAGTATATTTATCTTTATTTAGTATTATTCTCATGCACTTATTTTGTAAAATCTGCAGTCTTTCAAAAATGGAATTATTTGCTAAATATAGAATAGTCGAACAGTACAAGAAATTTGGAAAAATGATGGTATTATAGATAATTTTTCTGATAATGACTCTAGTGTATTTTTACCACAAATTTAATGATAATGTAACGCCCTCGTATCGCTTGGTCCTGGTGTGGTGTGGACACTACGCAACCAGAGTTACGCGATCGGGCGCAAACGCTTGCCGGCTGGGTTGAGGTTAAAGAATAGTCGAAGCCTATCTAGTAGCACCTGCTGCCATCTAGACCAATTCGCGAAAACGCTGAAATGCTTCTTGGCCCGTCGATAGGGACGTAAATATCCGACAAAGCGAGGCAGGCGCAGTCGAGCCAGTAAACAGCGATCTCGGTATTGAGATGGAATAATGGTCCAGTCGACATAGTTACAAATTTGTTATAAATCATTTGCAAGTGTTAGAAATGGGACTTTTGACAATACGGTGTTTTCGATACAATAATAATAACAGCTACACCTTACTTATTTTCGACATGTTCTTTGCGATGCTTTTGTGATAACTTTTTCTGTGTATTATTATTACTAAATAGAATTTGATTCAACCCACCATTGGTGCTTCTTCTAGAATATTCTTATGAACAGCCCCAGATTCCCCGATTTCCTCGATGGTCAAAGGTTGTCTTGTTAGAGCTGACGTGGAATGATTGATGTAATCCTGAAGCTTTACTACGTCCTGAGCTATGGAATCTTTCAAAGAGTAGATCAGTTGATCCCAGTAGCTGCGATTATGCGACTCTAAATCCGATCTCAGTCGAGATAGACTGATTACGAAGCAACCCACTCGTTCTTCGGTACTTGAAAAATAAAATTGAAAATTTGAATATCATTTCAAAGGGTTTTTAGCCCCATTTAACCTTGATCTATGCTAGTTCTTTACGTAGTAAAACGTCCAGAGTTTGGATAAGTCCTTAAAAAAAGGTGTATTATAAAGGTTCCCCAACAATTTTTTTTATAAAACTTCATACACTGAGAAAAGTGAAATCAGGTAGACTGAATCAGTCCTTTCCACGTATTGGTATAAACCTATTTGAACTTTAGGCACACGGAAATCTCAAATTTCAGAATTTTTTGGACCCTATTTCTTTGCGATTGAGATTTGATCAAAAATCTCTCCAAGAAATTTTAGTCTATTCCCAAAAATTATTAGAAACTAGAAAAATGAGTTTTCTAGCCTGATGTGTAAAAACATAGAAATCCAAGTACTTTCCGTGTTATACACTGTGCCCCATTTTAATCATTTGAATGTAATTTAAATGATAGTCTCCTTGGCGATTCAAGGTCATAAAGGTCAAGTGAATATTTTCACTCCCTTTTTCACATCGGAATAGCAAATAGGACCAAATTTTACGTCGTAGCATTACCTTTGCCATGACTTTGATCATTGCCTTCGAGGCCATTTCAAGGTCAAATCAGGACATCGAAGACAACTTCGTCCAGCAAAAACATTAGACAGCACATTTTTGAGGTTTGTGGAAATAACTCAAAAGTTATCTTGACCTTCATGGTCAAGTCAAAATCCCCAAAGGGGACCTCACTTCTTTATACTGTAAATGGAAAAAACAATATGACCATGACATCAAAGTGGAGGTCATGTCAGACGTAGATTTCATCTGAGTTTCATATTCGGTCAAGGTCAAGGTCATGGGCAAGGTCAGATTTGTGGGATCTCCACAAACCTCAAAACTGTGCTGTCGAACATTTTTAGCAGAGCACCTTGATTTGACCTTCAACTGGTCACAAAGGCAATGAAAAAGGAGGGTTTAAATATCCACTTGATCTTGAAGTGACTTTGAAGGTCGTAGTCAAGGCCAGTGCCAAGGTTTTGCCCTATCCATACCCTAGAGATTAAAATGGGACACCGTGAATAGAGGCCAAAGTCTATCAAAAAAATGATAAACTAGGGTATTATGGAGTTCGGTTATTTTGTTGCCTCTCTTCTTTTCTATAAAATAGATTTATATTTATATTGCGCAACCTCGAAAAAAAATCGATTTTTGAGGAAGCGACGTTTTAAGCCTCAATTCATCAGATTGCGATTCGGATCGACTTATGAATCGATCTTTTTCGAGAAGAATCGCCATCTCTAATAATATACAAGCAGGCAGACCGACGAGAAAAACAATTGCTGTGGGAAGTGAAACATAAAATATATAAATAAGGGCGTTTATTGTACAGCGAGCGATTCGTTTTTAGTGTGCATAAAAATTGTACCTGGACAACTTAGCAGTTTCTTGTCCGAAAGTTTTCGAAGCTCTAAAATGAATATCCCAATGTTGCCAGCTCGTCAATTTCGTTACGTCAAGTGATTCTAACTGGATCCAAGATTTCCAGTGTTCTATCACCTTCCTCAATTGATCAAAAAGCTCATTAGTGTGCTTTGACACATTTTTCAAAGCTTCGCCATTCCTAGAATATGTTGAAAAAAATAAAGATAAAAAACTGAATCAAGTGACACAAGCATCATCATAGAAATTGTTTATTTTGAATTATGTTTTTTTACAAGTGTCAGTGCAGAAACCACGAAAGTCAATTTTTTGCTGTTTTTCTGAAAACACTTCATTAAAGGCGTATTCTGGGTATACACCTCAAAAATCACCACAAATAACGCCACGTAATACACGTTCAGTGCAAAAACATAATCCGGGACTTTGGACACAAATGCAATGTCGGTTTTTCTGCTGAAAAAATACATTTTGATGCCTGGTAGTCAAATAAACACGTGGATATTTCTAAAACCAATTTCCGATTATTGAAAAATAGTGGAACGAATAACTCTATCATTTTTTCACGACGGTCGATTTACAACTCATATTTTTGATGTGGGGCAAACTTGGGACACTCTGTATAATTGTACTTTAGAAATGTGCCCTTGGGATACCCTATAACTAGTTTTCTTTGATATATACAGGGCGGCCAATGCATAACTGACTGATTTAAATTGCGCGCCATTTTTATACATGCATTTCAATAGGTGGCGCCGTAGTAGTTGTTTGAAGCACACGCGTACAATTTATCATGGGTCGCTACACGATCCCACAACGCATCCGTATTGTTAAAACGTTTTACTTAAATAATGAGTCGATTGTTGCAACGATTCGGAAGCTACGACAAGATTTCGGTCGGAATCATGTGCCCAGTGTCAACACCATTCGTCATTTGGTGCTGAAATTTGAACAAACAGGTGAGGTTGAAGACTTGCCAAGGTCGGGCCGTGTTCAAACTGATCGTACTCCGGAAAATATCGGGAGAGTTCGTGAAAGTGTAGTGGAGCGCCCAGAGACGTCTACTAGACATCGTTCGCAAGAAATGGGTGTTCGTGACACTTCATCATGCACTATTTTTAAAAAAGACTTGCATTTGAGGCCATACAAAATCCAGTTAACCCAAGAACTACAGTCCAGTGACCATGAAAGTTGCCGCCAATACAATCATGCAATATTGCATGTTAATAACTAATAATATGGAGCAAAACTTTCTGCCTCCTTAAATCCAACAATTTAACTTGCCAAACATCTGGTTCCGGCAGCGTTTAATTTCTCGATTTGTTGATGTCAACTGGCCACCAAGGTCTGCGGACCTAACGGCTCCTAACTTTTTTATGGAGATTCTTGAAAAATAGGGTTTACGCCAACAGCCAAACACTGTAGAGCAGCTGAAGAACAATATTAGGGAAGCAATTGAAAATGTCCCTCCCGAAACCTACCAAAAACTGATGGACAATAAAATCACGAGGGCTCAGGTTTGCGCGGCTTTTACAGGCCTACATTTGTCTGATATTATTTTTCATACAAAATTTATAAGTTCCAATAAAGGATTAAGATTAAAAAAATAGACTAATAGTCAGTTACATATTGGCCACCCTGTATAAATACTCCGTTATCGCCGCAAGCTTGGGACACCCTGTATATCATGGAAACGCTACATCATGGGATTGTTAAGAGCCCCCCCCCCATCTGGAGAGCCTATTCCCCAAGTTTGAGAAAGATTCTGTAAGGTTTGAGCCCTTACCCCCCCCCCCCTTCCAAGACGTTCGCTTTTGCCCGGGATTCCACTATGTACCTAAGAAATATTAAAACATGCAAAATTAACACATGTGACATGTTATAGTGAGTCAGTATTCAAGTTTAACTTTGAATAAGCAGTAAACATAAAATTTATATGATTTTTTTGCTTAAGTTAACCCAACTTCCGGCAAAAACAACTTATTTAATTTCGGCCTTGAAAACTCAAATACTACATTAGGGGACCGCGCCAGGGATTCTCCTTCGGTGCGAGACTGCTAACGCCATCTGTTGGGAACCGCGCCAGGGACTTTTATTAGAGATAGATGCGAAGTGACCTCGAAGATTCTGGACTGCCGCTATGTGGCTCACCGGAACCTTCTCGAATCAACGAGTACCTGCGATGCGGACTAGGAACCCAGAAAAACGCTACAGTACGTTGAAAAATTGAAATTGTGAGACTCCATTTGACGGAAGTAGTAAAAATATTCACAGGTCGCACACCTTACCTTTCTGTTATTTCTTTAAACACTGTGTCATCATCAGATATGCCTCTGAAACTTAGCGGAGTATCTAAAAATCTCTTTAATTGCTGCTCATAGATCTGTTTCAATTGTTCTTCAGGGGGTGAATACTCCAAGTTCAAATTCCTGTATGTCAAATCAACGTAGATTTCCGGCAAATACAAATGCAAACTGTCCAAAGAATTTATGTACTGCTTTTCAAGAACCAAGGCAAGTTCTTTGTCTAGATATATTTTCCATTTTTGTAAGTTTTTGAAGCCTTTCCCTTCAACTTGGTTCAAAATATTGCGGATTTGTTTTGCTACGTCTTTCCATTTGCTATATTCTTTTATGAGATCTACTTCTCTTAAGCTGAAAATCTGAAACGGCATTGTTGTATTAAAATTAAGTTTCCAAATCTAGTACTTTTTTCCCCTGTATAATAAATAACTATTATTCACACCTAATTGCGAATAAACTGATAAACACAAAAGGAAAATATCCTTGTGCGTGGATAACATTCTATAGTCGAAATCACGAAAGATGACGATTACGTCATCATTTTAGTCTGGAGTAAAGACAAACGACAGCGATTTGTGAATATTTTGAATGAAGTTTCAGATATGTTAGACAGAGACAAACAGAATTTTATTGTCTAAACAAACTGTATTGCTAACGTGCATGTATCCGACAAAGATAGACGATGTTTTCATGTTGCATGATCGGTCACATTTGAAAGATGAATAGTTAGGTTATGTTAAAACAGGTTAGGTTGTTTTCGAATAATACTTTGGTCTTTGGTGTTCCTGTCTACTCATAACTGTTTTTTTTACAATAAAAACTCAACACTAAAATTGTTATTAAGGTATCACTCAAAACCATGAAATAAAATGAAAATTAAAATAATCAATGAAATAAACTAACTTCGCAAAAGTCTTACGAATCATTTCGTAATCTCATCACGAGACCTATCTCGAGTCGATATTTTGATAAACGCGAAACGAGTGTGATTCGATAGAACTTTTAAAATTAATGCATAAAGTCTATCTAAACATGCGTCGAAAAATGCGTGGCTTCCGAAATACAGGGTGTTTAAATTTACTTTTTAAATTAGTGTTTTTTAAATATTTCGAACAATATTTGATGCATAACAGTGAAAATTGGTATACTAGGGTTTTTTGGTACTAAAAAATGAACCATGGGCATAGTTTTACTGTAGCCGCTAGAGGGCGCTCTCTACTGTACCTGTAGTGTATTAAAATGACCGAAAATGTTTTCTTAGTGCAATTTTTTGCTTTTTAAATAAAAAAACTGATTCTTCGCACTTTTCTGCATAAAAAAGCTCTCCTGTGAGTTTTCGTTATAGTTGGCCTTTTTTGAGATATTTCGATTTTCAAGGTTCGATGCATTTTTAATTATTTATGGGATAATAATATTTTTTTACATTTTCGATTTGGGCATTACAAGTAATTAAGATGATCGTTTAGATTGTGTTTTTAAATACAGCAATAATTCCTAACTCCAAATATTAATTTGTTTAATTTTCCAATATTATTTTCAACAAATTAAATTAATTGGATAGTTAGGACAAACATACAAAATCTAAAGTAGTTGCTCGAATGTAAACCCAATTATTCAATACACAATTCACATCTACGAATGATCGAACGTGGTATAGCATTATTCAAATAAGGCCTTATTTCATCACATGCATTCCTGATTCTGTCTATTAGCATATCTCTTGTGGTTACAGGAGTCTGGTACACTTTTTCTTTTAGAAATCCACACACAAAGAAATCTAATGGATTTAGGTTAGGGGATCGTGGAGGCCAGGCGACTGGTCCTCCACGGCCGATCCATCTTTCTGGATGATTTTCGTCCAGCCAGTTTCTAACTATTCTCGATTAATGAGCTGGACAACCATCAAGCTGGAACCAGGCCAATCTTCTTAAATCTAACATAACATCATCCCACACATTTAACCTTGCAGGCAAAAGGTAGGGTCCAAATAGTCGATTACAGTAGATACCAATCCACACGTTCACACTAAATTTATGCTGAAAATTTCTTTCCCGAACTGCATGCGGATTTTCATGCGACCAAATATGTTGATTATGAAAATTTACCACTCCACGTCTAGTGAAGCATGACTCATCGGTCCATAAAACGTTACTCAAAAACTCCCTATTATAATCAGTTCTATCAAGAATCCACTGACAAAATGTTATTCTTCGTTCTCCGTCCCCTGGCTGTAGTCCTTGCACAGGTTGCAAATGGTAAGGACGTCTAGGGTCATTTCTAAGAACACGGTGAACATGGCTTGCTGAAATTTCCCAAGGCACCAGAAACACTTATGGTCGGATCTCTATCAATCTCACGCCGAATCATACGGGTAAATCTGCGCGAAGACGAACATTTATGTTTTGATCCCTTTGGAGATTTCCAAAACCATTTTCAATTATTTGCGATGCACTCTTACAAATACTGAGCGAGTTGGATGTCGTCTGTTTGGAAATCTTCGTGCATATTCTCTGGCTGCTTCTGCCGCGTTTCCATTTACAAAGCCATACACAAAATGAATATCCGCTAACTCTTGATTGGAGACTAAAAATGGCATTTTTATAAAACTTACAAAAAAAAACAGGGAAAAGAAACTAAATTTCGTGCATTCACAATTGCAAAAAAACGTTTCAGGTTTCAACAGACAACAAAACTAACTGTCAACTAATTGACGTTTAACCTTATTCTGTTTTCAATTTCAAAAATATTTGCAGGCACAGCCTACTTCTAAAAATTATCGAGATACTGACTTTTTAACGTTATTTTATCATAAATAATTAAAAATGCATCGAACCTTAAAAATCGAAATATCTCAAAAACGGCTAACTATAACGAAAATTCACAAGAGAGCTTTTTTATGTTGAAAAGTGCGAAGCATCATTTTTTTTATTCAAAAAGCAAAAAATTGCACTAATAAAAAATTTTCGGTCATTTTAATACACTACAGGTACAGTAGAGAGCGCCCTCTAGCGGCTACAGTAAAACTATGCCCATGGTTCGTTTTGTCGTACCAAAAAACCCTTGTATAGCAATTTTCACTGTTATATATCAAATATTGTTCGAAATATTTAAAAAAAACTATTTTAGAAAGTAAATTTAAACACCCTGTATTTCGGAAGCCACGCATTTTTCGACCCATGTTTATATAGACTTAATGCATTAAGTTCTATCGAATCTTAAAGTTATGCAACAATAAACTGAAACACCCTGTATATATATATTGTATATACAGGGTGACTTTGAAGTTGAGTCATTAATTTTCAGATAATGATTGTAGAAGGAAGATAAACCAAAATATTTGTGTAAAAATAAAAAAAATAAAAAATTTTTTTTACCTTGTTTTATAAAGTATCCTCCCGACAAGTATTTCAGTGCGGACCTGTATTTGATCGTGAGGTCTTGGAGCACCGGCATGCAGTCCCCTGTGAGGTCTTAAGTCACCTGATTCACGAGCCCGTTGTACTACATTAACAAAGGCACAAGGGGTTGGTTGCACTCGATTGGTAAACCGATCCGCATAAATATGTGCCATTTTTTATTTCGTTTGAGCCACGCAACAGACACCACTATTCACTCACGCGTTACCGACTGACACAGACTGAATAAAAACATCGTGATCAGCGTTTCAAATTCTTTCGCTTTTTTGTTTCCGATGCGATGAACCGATAAGGCGGAGTATATCCGTTGTCGCCAAACACGAGCACATAATATTATTATTGAGACAGGGCGGTACTCAAACTTCTAAAGGGCTATAACTTTGTTACTTTAATTTTACCACAAAAATGTTAAAGGAAAAAAACATTTCTTTTGATCAGATCTACTCACTGTTAAAATAAATGACTCAACTTCGAAGTCACCCTGTATATAGTAATGAGGCATTAGGGTCCACTGTAATCAAAGATTGCAATTGCTTTTTGAATCGTTATGTATTTGAAGTAAATTATCGATTCCACGTTCTTACCTTCTCCATTACTTGATTATGATAGTTTGTCAGCAAGTTATTCTGCTTGGACAACTTTTCTACGGCAGTTTTCAGTGTCTCCACATACTTCTCTACAGACTTCTCTTCGCCCCATGATACCACTTCTTGTTCCTGGACAAGCTTGGAAAGTTCCAAAGCTCCGTTTAACATCAATGGTTTCAGGCATGATATCATGCGATCTCCTATCACGTTGTGAAATTTGCTATCTGAAACGCCACTTATTAAGAGTCGAAATGTGGTACAAAAGTAAACAGATGTAAGGTAAGTTAACAAGTATCATCCCACTCATAAACTAGAAAAGGCTGTCTCTCGTACGAAAGCTTGAGGTAGAAGTACCTATCTATTTCATAATACAGGATGTAAACGTTATGATGGGTGGAATGAGTGATTAAAAGAAGCAAAAAGTTGGGGAGTCAAAACGGCATTTTTTTACAGAAAAGTGTTTTTAAAGTAAAATAAAATATGACAACGCCGCAATGCCATGCGCAAATTACGACGGAACGCAGTGTAAATAAAGATGGAGTTTGTTATTTTTGGCTCTTAGGTATTATTTCATTATTTGATAATGTACTCGTAAAATGCAAACAATAAAAAAACAGACCTACCACTAACTGTCTCAGCGCTTCACCGTATTAAAAAAATCCGCTTATAAATAGGGAAAACATTTTTGATACATACGTTGTTTTTCTTTTTAAAATCCGCATTTTTTGTATTTAAAGGAGGTGTTCAACATGTCGTCCCCCACTTTCCACACAAGCTTCATTACGACGAACCCAGTTTCTTCTTACTCTAGGTCCTCGAAGTTGTCCATTTATTATTTCAGCCGCATTAAATTTTTTTTTTCGCGAAGGTGTGCTTCAGTTGTTATTGGACCAGCCCCATAAACCATCCCTTTAAGTTCTCCCCAATACCAGAAATCCATCGGATTGAGGTCAAGAGATCTTGCTGGCCATTTTCGAGGATCAGAATCATTTCTACCGATCCAGCGATTTGGATAATGTTCATTCAAATACTGAATGACGCCTCTAAAAATGTGTGGTGGGGCCCCGTCACGAAGAAATCACAAATTCTGTCTCCGTTGAAATGGCATGTTATCTAAGTTCTCTTCCAAAAGTTCTGGTAGGTTATTGGCTAGAAAGCTAAGGTATCCTTCTCGTGACAACTTTGGGGGTAACTCGAAAGGGCCAATTGCCTGATCGTCAAGAATACCCGCCCAAATATTTATTTTAAAACGTTCTTGGAAATATCCTTCAGGAATGGTATGAGGATTTTCTTGGGCCCACGTGTGAGTATTACGGAAATTTAATATCTCGTCTTGCGTAAAAGTACATTCGTCCGTCGCTAGAATGTTTTTAAAAAAATCCGGATTGTCAATGTTTTTGTGCAAAAACCACTGACAGAATGTTAGTATGTGAGGATAGTCTTCTGGTAACAAAGCCTGCACTGGTAGGGATAAACCAAAATTTCCCGTAGGATTCTATGGTCTATGGTATGCGATAGTCCTACGCGGCGGCCTAATTCCCGAGTGCTGATATCTGCATTGATTTCCACGATATTTAAAATTTGTTCCTCCTGCTCTACAGTAACCTGTCTTTCACGAGTGCAAATATTAGTGGGCAGAACACTTCCTGTATCTCGAAGTCTTTGGTACACTTGCACAAATGACCTTCTGTCTGGGTGTACCCGTTGGCGAAATCTGTCGCGATAAATTTGAGCTGCAAGATTTGAATTCTGACGAGCTTCACCGTAAACTAACAACATTTCGGCGAGCTCTTGATTCGAGAACATTGTAAATAAACACGACGACGTACGCGAACAATAACAAACTAACCACTGTTACCGTTTGCGATCGATTGCCGGTTCGATAAGAGTGATGAAAGATCGACGCGCTGTTGTCATGTGTGTTTTAAATATTTAATTTAATGAAACTTGCTTACTGACTACAAAATTTGGCTTAACTTAGAAAAATTTAATGCCATTTATTTGTTAATTACCCAATTTAAAAACGCTTTAGATTATATTATAAAAATTAGTAAGATTGTGGTGTGGTCGATATAAAGCACTTAAAGTTGTAAACTATAAAGCCATTTAGACAAAAATCTATTGACTTTTGGACTGTGGGTCATATGAACTTTTTGACTTGCTTTGACCGCTCCTATTACCCTTTGCATAACGTTTACACCCTGTATAAACTACAGTCTACAATAACAATAGATGCAACAAAAATAATGCGTTTGATTTAAGATCGTGTAGTGTGCATTTTATTATGCATATCTTCTTCCATCAGAACTTGTTAACAACTGTAACTACAGCTCTGAAATAGTGTGTGAATATTCCTCTTTTATGAAGAGTGAAACAAGTGATTACTTTTGTTCTTATCACTTTTCCTTTTAGAAAAATCTTTGATTTTCTTGAAGCCTCGCCTCGCAGCAAATTGGGTTTCCAAGAAAAGCAAAGATTTTTCAACGGGAAAAAGTGATAATAACAAAAGTAAACACTTGTTCCATTCATCCATGAAAGTGAAATATACACATACAATTTCAGAGCTGTACTAATATTTGTTAACAAGTTACGATCGAAGAAAAAATCCACAATAAAATGCACAAAACATGCATTTTAAGACAAAACAAAATCAAAAACGGTGTTTTTTGGTCATCTCATGAAGTAATCAGAAAAAGGATTTAGAATAAGATAGATGAAAACACGAAAAACATATACAAAGTTTACGATTCCATACAGATTAGGTATATCCAAATATGGTCGGGAAATAAATTCACCAAATTAATATTGTTCCAGAACCTAGAACTAATAAACAAAGCATTCTAAAGCGAATTCTGTCTAACTCCATATGTGAACGCTCTCATAATTTTTTGATGCTGCCATAAAATATGACACACTCCAGAAATGTACAAAAACAGGTGAATAAAATTGGTTATCGGGGATCGAGCGGTAAAGTGTACTTTGTGTGTTTTGTGGTAACGTCCCACTTTCAGTTCAAATGCTCGCGCAGTAGGATGATACAGTTAAAGTTTTTGTGTCCAATAAAAGGTTACTTTGAATTTTCGACTTTATTAGTAGTATGTAGTTGGTCGTAAACAAAATGTGTGTAACTCACCACGGACTACAAACGGTTCATTTTACGCCATACATAAATAACTATTTTACCTGTTCTAGTGTCCTAGCATGTTTCATGAATTTCTTCGCATGATCACTAGTTTGCTCTATGATGGGTGGAATTTGGTAGCCCATAGCTTTCAACTGCCGCACTTCAGAAATCAACACGACTAGTCGTGGAGAATAGTTGACTTCCATAAGCTTTTTTTTAGAAAATTGAACTACGGGTTCAGATTCTTTCAGACTAAAATTAGTGGTTAGAGAAACTTGTTTCAATAGTGAGCTACACTAATTTTTTCAATACGTGTGGTTGACAGGAAAGCTCTAACTTTCTGAGAGTATTTGCGACTAGGGATGGCAACGATATATCGATTATTTTTATATATCGATATTTTTTAAAAATTTATCGATATATTATAATTTGTAACTCAGTGCACTACCGGGAACCGATACCCAAATTTTCGCGAAGAACGGGAATAGGGGAAGACGGATGTGACGTCATCCGAATATCAAAAAATCACGTGGTACGGGTACCCGCCTAACGTCTGTGAGGTACTAGCGGGTGACAGGTCTTATGTCAATTTCATTTAAAAAACAGGCATTTCAATTGAAAATTTCTCTTCGCAGTGCCGAAAATTGAGTTAAATTATTAAATCATAAATGGAGGAACAGGTCCACCTGATTTTAAATGACGAGGGGGAAGGTCATCGAAGATATATGAACCGCACTTGTCATATCAAATGATTGATTTTATTGATATATATGTACATTGCACATAAAACGATCGATCTTTTTATTTCAGATTCAAACAATTCTGCTAAGTTTATCAAGGTGCTTACAGCAAACATTTTGGGCAACTTGCGCCATCTAACCACTCCCGGTGTAACTTGAAACTGTCAAAACTTCGAGAGGAAGTGGAAATTCCATCTGTTCCCGCTCCGGTTTACTACGGGATCTCGCGAAAAAATCTCTACTACTGTTTTTTTCTTTGTTTCTTTTTCTAAACTCGAACATTCTAACACAAACTCTGAGGTCGATTGGGAATAATATTGTGGGATTGGATTGGAATTGGACTGATTTGTGCATATTTCTTGTTCTGGGGGGTGTTCTTGTTTGATAGTTTGAATCAACGTTATTTGAAAATGGCATTTAATAATTTTTTAGCATTAAAAAATGCTTTTTGTTGAATATGAAAAGTAGGGAAATACTTATATTTTTAGCCTTTTCCGAGTTTTCAATCTCAAATAAAATTCAATGAACACATCGTATATAGTATATGACATAACATATTAACTTAAAAAAATTTACGATATATTCAAAAATATCGATATTTTCTATCCGATATATCGGATATATCGATACATTGTTTCGATATATCTAATGATTCGATATATCGACATAAGTATACAATATGCCATCCCTATTTGCGACTGAGTGTAGTGGCAACACTGTAAAATGCTCACGAGTAGCTTACTTGAGATAAAAAGCTATAAAACCGGAAAAGTGGAAATCGCTCAAACTTCGGTTTTTGACGTCTCAGATGATACTGATCAATTTTGAAAAAAGGATTTGTAATCCAATATTATAGAGTTCGTCGCTAACCCATTGAGGAAGCGTTTTACCTTTGACTTCAAGTTCAAAACTGAAAGTTGAAGGAACATTAAATGGCCAATACTTCCTGAGAGATGATGAAATTGGAATATAAGAATTGGAATCTCGTCTACGTAGAAAAAATGGCGAGTATGTAGAATAATACAGCAAGGTTACATCTTTGTATAAATTTCTATAATAATAAGCAATGTTTTATATGCTCAAAATCGGTTAGGCAGCATTGGTGGCCGTAGTAGTAGACTCTTCGGTCTCCTGGTCAGTCGCCGTGCGCTGCGCGGGTTCGAATCCCGCCCCAAGAAAAATGTTTCCCTTGGCTATGAATTTTGTGATTGTCCGTAAGTGGTAGACCGTCTCTGAGTGTCGAACGCGGAGGTATCACCCGGCGGATCTTGTAGGCGGTGCCAGAATGTGTGCATGTTGCATGCACACGTGTTCCCTCGCGAAAGTCCGTGTGGCGTCCACGCTTTCCCTGTTTCCCCCTATAGCACCACGGTACCCATGGGTGTTTAGGCCTTAGTGGAAGTTGGAGTATAAAAAAAAAGATGGAACCTTACTTCTGCATCAACCCTCGTATGTCACGATCACAACATTTATTGCCTCCTGTTAAATTCAAATTGCGCGACTTGCGAGGTTTTTGCAATGACCGATTCAAACTTAATCGGGTTGTCGTTACACGCACTCACAAACATCCTGAGACTTCCATTTTTTCTGCCAACCACAAGAATCAAAAAAGTAACTTTCGAAACAAACTCGGCCTTACCTCAGCCTATTCGCCTTAATATGCTCGATAACATCACTCGCCCAAGTCTCAAACAGCTCATTATGCTGCTGTTTCAAATCCTTCATAGTCTCATTGGCCAAAGGCATCAGATCCTCATAACTTTGAAGATCACTCAACAACTTATTGGCCACATTTTGAACCTCTTTCGCTCTCGATTCCAGTTGCCTCACTTGTGTGATCTCCTTCACTATTTGAGGGATATCATAGCGAGTGTTGATCACCGGGCTCTCAGAGATGGTTTCAGATTGAATTTGTTTTATATAGTCGAAGAGGAGCGATAGCAGGTATTGCCTTTCAGATAGCAGTTCGTGTTTCAAGACTGGCCTGGAGAGAAGCTCCGAGTAACGAGAGAACTCGTAGATAAGCTAAAAATATATTTAATTTTCGAGATCATATTGTAACGCCCTCGTAACTAGAACTTTGTGAGAGGCCCTCGACTAGAAGCTGGCGTTTTGTCTAGAAGGCTGTGGATTGGCCGATTTGGAATAAAATAGACACGCCGACGGCAAAATGGCAGAATCGATAGCGGACGATGAGTCAGCAACAGCGCGGAGTCAACATGGAATAGTCCAGTCCACATAGTAATAATTGTAGTAACATTGTTGCAGTGTTGTAATAAATTAGTGTGGGCGTAATAAATTTGACTTTAAAAAGTAAAAACGGTAGCTAATACAAGCACGTCATAATGACATCGAATTTGGTGATAACTCGTCAACTGACGTACTCTTTCGAAGATCAACGAAGATTGACCAATTTCTCTAAGACATACGCATAAGATTCTGGAATCGTGATTATTTATTTAGTTTAGGACATATGAATGAAGATATTATACAGGTATAGGATATAAGCCTGTCTAGTATTTAGCATTGACCGAAGAAAATGTTTTTTCACACTTGATCGCACAGTTCTTTCAGCGGCTCTATAAGATGCTCAAACTGTTTTCGAGCCTTTTCCAAGCTATTAGAAATATCTTCACCATACACCAAAATATCAGCATCTGAAATACCATTATCACTCTAGCCACATATACAGGGTGTTCAAATAGTATGCTTCTTAAAAACATATCTCGCAGACTTGACGCTAGCACTTTTTTGCTAACAGTGCTTCCCAGTCACCAATAAAGGAAAATTAGCACAGAAAAACATGGCAATAGTTAATTTATTTTATATCAACATACCTTTGAAAGGTTGAAAGGCGTCATCGGTTCTTAACTCAGATTGTTCAGCAGGAGTTAACAACTTCACCAACTGTTTATGAAAAGCTCTGATGCTCAGAATCTGCCGATCGAAAAGTGTCAAATTAAATGTCTAATTCAAAGAAGTAAAAGAAGTATAAATTCTGAACATTTGTTTACACAAGAGAATTTAAAAGATTACTCTAACTTTACCTCTTTTAACAATGATACAAACTGTACCAAATCTTGCGGTTGATAAACTGGATCTTTCCAGGGATTCGTATAATAATTTGACCAAAATATTTCAGTCAACTGTTTGCAAGTGTTCAACCATCTCTCACATAGAGATATTATTTGACTTAGCTGGTCCAAAGTCATTACGTAATCTGAAGTCCAGACGTTATGAGAAGACAGTTTAGCAGACGTGAACCTCCACAAACTTGTGGCTAAAAGAACGAGAGAACAAAAAAACAATTCATAATTATCTGTCACAATTACACAAGGTATTAAATTTTTGTATACATTATCGTTTAAAAAATATTTTCATTGTACACTAACTAAAATGCGAATGAAAAAAAAAATTACTTGAAAAGCTTTACGTATAAAATATATTATTGCAGTATTTACCTATAATGTCCATAAGGTGCTTCACTCTATCTTTAGGATATGGGGGCTCATGCTTCCATAGATCATCAAGCACATTATGAGCTTTTTCGAGCAGATCTTCAACTTCATTGGTTGATAATGCTTCTATAATACTAAAATATGCCGAAGTACTTAGAGGAAGTTCGGTGAATATGGAATAGTCCGGGGTAACATGGATAGCTTTATTTTCAATATTCTATCAGCTATCTAGATTACGATTCGCCTATTGAACATACGCCGCCACCTATTGTTACCCGTGCATACTCGGTCATCAGATATACCGTCGACGAGCGGGCCAGTTACCAAAAGGTTGTTCGGCGAACATGCGGAGTTTCGGTAACGCTGAAAATTTGTTCCCATATTTTTGAACTTTACGAGGAAAGTTATTTTGGTCTATCAGGTACGTACACTATAGACACCAGTGCATGCACTATCTATGATAATATTTGGAAATGTAAATTATATCACCTCAGTATAAGACCTCTAGGTGGATAAGGGTATAATGGAATATCCAATATTAAGCCGATATTCATATTACCCCGATATTCCGTATTACCCGAAAATTCCAGAAGTACTTACAGTGTCAATTTTTTTACAAGACTTATAATGGCAACTAAAAAGCTCTTAAAAGCTAAAAAACAAACTTGGTAATGTCGATAGTAATGCGCAATGCAATAGATGCTGTAAGAACAAAAAGGATCGGTTATTTAGCGGCTTCCTCGGAGCACACAATTTCGCTGTTGTGGTGATTTTATTAACAAAACATCACTTGGATGAAAGCCAGTTTTACCACCAGCCCTAGAAAAAGAATTGGTAACTTCTAGAAATGGAGCGGAAATATTTCGGCCTTACACGCCGGGACGTACGTAGAATGGCTACTCAGCTGGCCACACGTAATAATTTAAAGCATACGTTTCCCTTCTGAACGAACTCGCAGGCAAGGATTGGCTTTACGCCTTTCTAGAACGACATAAAGACACCCTCAGCGTAAGAAAGCCAACAGGAACTTCAGTGGCAAGAGCAGTCGGCTTTAATAGGGAAAATGTCACTCAATTCATTGACTTGTTAGAAAGCCTCATGAAAGAGAATAATTTCAGGCCTAATCGTATCTATAACGTCGATGAGACAGGCTTATGCATAGTACAAAGTAACGGGTGATTTTTTAAGAGGTTATAGGATTTGGTTTTAAAAAAACACAAAAATTTGATAAAACTATTAATTTTATTTGAGTCGATAGAACGGTCGATATAATTTAATGTTTAAAGATTATTTCATGTAAATGTTGGCCGCGGCTCCGCTTTAGATGGCCCATGCGCAAGGTCCAATTTTGGCACACTCTCTCCAACATATCGGCCGGTATCTCACGAATAAATGCTTCAATATTGGCTTCTAGTGCGTCAATCGTTGCTGGTTTATCCCTGTAGACATTGGCCTTAACATGGCCCCACAAGAAAGAGTCCAACGGCGTTAAATCTCACGATCTAGGCGGCCAATTGACGGGCCCCAAACGTGAGATAAAGTGTTCACCGAACTCGCCTCTCAATAGGGCATTGTTTCGTGTGCGGTGTGGCATGTGCACCGTCTTGTTGAAACCACATGTCAGACAAGTCCATTTGGGCATAAAAAGTTTATTATCATCGCACAGTAGCGCTCGCCATTCACAGTTACGTTCCGGCCATTGTCGTCTTTGAAGAAGTACGGCCCGATGATGCCACCGGCCCATAATCCACACCAAACAGTGATTTTTTCGGGATGCATTGGTAGCTCTTGCAATGCTTCTGGCTGGTCTTCACTCCAGATGCGGCAATTTTGCTTGTTAACGTACCCATTCAACCAGAAATGAGCTTCGTCGCTGAACACAATTTTTCGATAAAAATGTGGATCTTACTCCAACTTTGCCAGCGCCCATTCACCAAATTGGAAACGTTGTGGGAGGTCGTGTGGCTTCAATTCTTGCACCAGCTGTATCTTATAAGGTTTTACACCCAAATCCTGTCGCAAAATTTTCCACGTAGTGGAGTAACAGAGGCCCAATTGCTGCGAACGGCGGCGATCGACATTTCACGGTCATCACTAACACTGGCGGATACAGCCGCAATATTTCTTCAGTCCTCACTCTACGTCTGCGTGGGTTCGAATGTAGTCACAAGCTTCTGAATAGCTCCCTCAGTGGGCCGACCAAATTGCCCATAAATTGGAAGCAGTGCTCGATGTACTCTCTTAACCAAGCATGAATTTTGATAGTAAAATTCAATAATTTGCAAACGTTGTTCGTTCGTAAGTCGATTCATGGTTAAATTATAGACCAAACTGAACAAGTTTGACAATGACACAAGACACGATTCACGCGTCATCTGTCAAAAACAGTGTTGATAGATACTAGCAAAAAAATCACCCATTAGACGTCCGGAAAGAAATCTAGCGAGCAACTTAAAAAAGGGGCTCCACCAGGGACCCTCTTTGCCTTTCATCCATCTGGGTGGATCCAAACGGGTTCACCCAATGGTTCGACCATTTCTTAGAGCACACCAAACCCACTCAAGAAGTCCTATACTGCTGTTATTAGATGGGCATCATACTCATACCAGAAATTTGGATGACATTCTAAAAGCTAAGGAACATTTTGTGTCGATTATTGTTTGCTTCCTCATACGACGCACAAAATGCAACCGCTCGATGAAACAGTAATGGGAGTTCTGAAAACTTATTACAGTGAAGAAGTTAGAGTTTTTATGAGAACGAGTAACAGAGCGATAACTCATTTCGACGTATGTGAATTATTCGGGAATGCCTATTTAAAAATCCAGACAGGAGAGAGAGCAGTGAAAGGCTTCAGTGCTACTGGAATTTACCCAGTTAGGCGAAATATATTTTCAGAACAAGACTTTTAGCAGAAAGTCAGCTTCAAAACCAAGCAAGAATGGAATCAGTCGACGATAAATATCACTGTCCTTCCCTCAATATTATTTCATTACCACAGCTTAAAAAGAAGAAGGAATACGTGGCAGAAAATGTGGCAAGGCAGTGATACATAGACGCCAAATAAGAACGAATTATAGCAAAGTATTTCAGTTGGTTCAAAGCAGAAAGAAAAGGTTGTGAGAAGGATTGATGATGACACACCAGGACCTAGTGGCGTCAGGTCCATGCCCAAGAAAATATGCAAAAGACGAAAGCCAACAACGTCAAATTCAGAATCACAACATTCATCCGACGACAATTTCCCGCTGGCGAAGTTAGTTGGGAAAAATCCAGAGCAAACGATCAAGATTCTTCGGACGATGATATTCCCGTAGCCTATTTGGCTTCTAAAGAGCCTAACTCATATGTGATTTGTATTTTCTGTGAAGAATTATTTTCTAAAAGTAAAAGCCGAGAAATTTGGATTCAATGTGTGTTTTTTTTATACTCCAACTACCACGAAGGCCTAAAGCCTAAACACCCATTGGGTACCTTGGGGCTATAGGGGGGATACAGGGGAAAGGGGGAACGCCACACGGACTCTGGCGAGCGAACACGTGTGCATGCAACATGCACACATTCTGGCTCCGCCTACGAGATCCGCCGGGTGGTACCTCCGCGTTCGACAGTCAGAGACGGTCTACCACCTACGGACAATCACAACATCCATAGCCAAGAGAAAAATGTCTCCTGGGACGGGACTCGAACCCGCACAGCGCACGATGACTGATCAGGAGACCGAAGAGTCTACTACTGCGGCCACCGCTGCTGCCTGCTGTCTGTCATGTGCGAATGCTGGGCACATGAAGCCCGTACAGGCAACGAGCATGAAACATACATATGCTACTTTTGTAAATAGTAGTTCATTAAATAAAAAATAAACAACTTTATAATTTTTGTTTTGTATCTATTACTTATGTCGTATATCATATACCACATTACCAGATAACGCTATTCCATATTACCCGCCAGTTTTCTTGGCGCCTAAAAATGACATATGACATTAAATATATTTTTGTCATTTTTCGACTAGATGTTATTTGCTAAATATATTTCTTTTCGTAAAATGAATGCATTTGGCCACCCATATCCTTATTATTATCAATTGTTACTCTATTGTAGTAATCTATAAGTGCATAATAAGAATGGGTATTCCATATTCACCGAACTTCCTCTATAAGCAACTTATCCTGTTATTTTAGTTACACATATGAAGTTACGTAGAAAATAGATAACAATAAGAGCCGATATAACTTGAGCTTGAGGAATGGTTTGAAAAACATTATAACATATACACTGAGAACCAAATTTGTCTGACGATTTGAGGTCAATGTGTGCGAGAGAGAAGTGTGTATAGACACATATGTTAGAAAGAGATAGAAACCGGCGGGATAGCGAAACTCATCATCGCGTTGGCAATATGTTACAGCAGTTCGTTGAATTAAGATGCATGTTGAAAATATGCATTAGTTTATTTATTGTCTACGACCGAATAATGGTTTTATTTTGAGCGTACACATTTTTGTGTCGAATATGTTTAGGATCCATTCCATTTTAAGTCGAATTGAAAGGTCAGGATCGCCTCAAATTCCGCAACATTGCATCATTCGCTTGGCAACACCGCATCTAGTACTTTCGAAAGCAAGGTTTCCACCTCCATGATATTAGATGAGCGATTTTGGTCAGTATCCAGCGCTCATTGCGGAGTGTCGTCGTGCTGCTTCGAAGTCGTTTTCACCTGCGTACCCGCAGGCAGTGATAATTTATATTGCGCAATGGTATTTGTTACATTTTCCGACCTC